ACTTGGGATCTGTGAAGTCAGTGTTAGGTCTGGAGAGGCTCAACTGTTTGGGGAAATCCTATCAGAAGGTCATAACTAAGCATGACAGAGTAAGACATTCAAACCCTACCCAAAGAGTGCTCAGTAGAAAGGAGTACGCTGTAAACTACATTGCTAGGTTTATTTCTAAATAAAATGCTCCAAATGCCAGAAGAAGCTACAGATCAGAGGCAGCAGAGCGGTGTGCTTTGGAGTTCTATCTGTGGTAGTTTGAAGGTGCAATGTCCTCCACACCTCCTGTTTGGGCCCAGAGCCTCCCTGGAAGAAGTCGGTGACTGCAGGTGGGCCTTAAAGTTTTACAGCCCATCTGGGGATGGAAAGAGAGTTCAGCAGTTAAGAACACTGGCTGTTCTTGCAGAAGACCCGGGTTCAAATCCCAGCACCCACATGGCAGCTAACAACTGTCCATAACTCCAGTTCCAGAGGATCCAACAGCCTCTTCTGCCCTCCGCAGGCATTGCACGACATGGGTGCACTTACCTACATGCAGGCAATACACGTATACACATAAAATAAAAATAGTAAATAAAAAAATTTTTTTTAATGTTTTATAGCCCGTCTCTGCTTCTTATCCACTCTCTGCTTCCTGACTGCTCATGCAATGTGACCAGGCACCTCACAGTCCTACATGGTCACAGTAGACTGTATCCCATATTAGACTGTGAGTCAAAATAAACCCTTCTTTCCTTAAATTGCTTCTTATCAGGTATTTGGCCACACAGAAGAGAAAAGTAAGTAATACACTCTCCAAGATACAGATATTTTTAATTTGTTATTTTTATTTTATGTGTATGAATGTATTGCCTGCATGTATGTAAGTGCACCATGTTATGCAATGCCTGGGAAGGTTAAAAGAGGGTGTCAGGAGTCCCTGGAACTGGAGTTACAGGAGGTCGTTAGCTGCCATGTGGGTGCTGGGAATCAAACCTGGGTCCTCTGTAAGAGCAGTCAGTGCTGTTAACCACTGAGCCACCTCTCCAGCCCCAATACAGAATATTTTAAAACTTTACAACTTTTTTGGATCAGAGAAGCAAATGAAATAAGGGAACAAAATGTAATGGAAATTTTACTACTGATAGAGCATTGAAGGAGAAGCTTCTGCAATATGGTGATACTTGATCAAAGGCCTCATGAAGTAAATCAGCAAGTCAGAGAGATCATCTTTCTAGACAGAGGGAACCACAAGTACAAAGGCCCTGTGGTGAGAGCTCACAAGCATGTCTAGCAACAGTGAAAAGGGCTCCAGGGCTGCAGCAGCTCGTCAGGAGAGAGGGTTTGGGGGGCTGGTTAACAATACGGGACAGGAGAGGACTGGGCATTTGTCCATTTTCTTCTCAAATTTTGTCAGTTTTTTGTTTCATGCATATTTTAGTTCAATTATTTAGCACACAGACATTTGGGGGTGCCAGGTCTATTGGAATGGAAAATTCTTAATGCAAAATATTCCTCACTACTGGAAATTTAACTTGCCTAGAAAATTACTGTTTATCCTGTTCATACAGCAACTCCGGGTCGCTGATGTTTTTGTGCTACATCTTTTCAGCAGCTCATTCTCAACCTGTGCACATCACCCTGTTGATCGGATTCTTTTCTGCTACTGTAGACAAGGTTTTGTAATATGACCCTGGCTAATCCAGTAATCATGATGTAGCCCAGGCAGACCCTGAACTTATAGTAGTCCTCCTGCCTCAGCCTCCCAGAATTCTGGTGTTATGATAGTGACCACCACCACACCCAGGTGAGCAGTTATTTACAGATTATTGTGGTCCTGTTTTTTATACTCTAACAACTTATCTTTCAATTGTTGTGTTTAGACCATTTACATTTAATGAGTTTATCACTGTGTTAGGGCTTTAGGTCTGCAACTTTTTTTTCTGGATTCCCCTTTTTCTCACTTTTTCTCTGTCTTCATTATTTTTTATATCTCAATTCTAAGCTCTCTTTAATGTGCCTAAGTGAACCAGTGAGTCAGGCCCTATTGAATACTTCTGGACAGCAGCAACATTGATAAATACAGAAATAAAATGTGTGAATAAATATGAATAAATAATAAACTCTCCTGTATTGACCTTTCTAGAGAAAAAAACACATACCCACACTCCCACAATAGACAACAGAAATGAGAGAGAATTAGTCAGGGGGAAGCAACTCTGGCTCCAATTTGAAATGCCAAGATTTCTGTCATTTGATTTATACTATTTTGGAATAGTCATATTTTAAAGACAATGTCTAATATACCGTATTTTCCAGTTCGTCGAAATGGACAGAAGTCTTAAAATGTCTTTGAAGCCCTAGACATTTTTCCATTGATTTTATTTATCGTGTCATTGACCATCAACAACTCATAGCCTGCTAAAATTATAACCATGCTTAACAATGACCTGGAGTACTGTAAACCCTTCCTGAACAATCAACTGTAGACGGATGAAGTTAACTTTTAAGGTCAAGGGTGAGTCACCTGCAGAACTAAGCTAGAACCAGGGTCTAATGACGCTGATCTCCATTGGGAGAGATAAAAATATTAACTTTTTATCTCAAGCATGTTAACAGTCTGCTTGGAATTCAGTTGCGCTCCATTTCCTTAAGGAAGGTAAAATAAGAATCCGCAGATGGAACAGCATCACTCATCCACACTGGAACTGAACCAGGACACGGGATGAAAACGAAGCCACTTGCCAAAAGTAGCAAGAGATAACAAACAAACAGCTCAGTCATCAGCACTGCAGACGTGCGCCGCGAGCGGTTCCAACGGGGAGTTTTAAGTCCCCTTCCTCTGTGGATTGCTGAGGTGGTTTGTGGTTGTCTTTTCACCCCATCTATCCAGAGGAACACAGAGCTGAAAATGGAATGGACACGGCGTTTATTCCGCAGTACGCAGTTCCACTCATTTAGACATAAAAGCCCTTGAGTGCGTGCAAAAGAAGGCTGTCCTCAATTCCCAAAATATTTTCTATATTCCCTGATTCACTGTGTGAAGGATCAGACCTCCAGCATGTGGCTCTGAGTGACAGACTTTCTCTTTTAGTCATGAAATCTTCCAGGATCCAAGAGGCGGGTTGGAGGGGACCTCTTGCTCATCCTCCATTTCTACGCACAGTCAGATACTATAATTAAATAATAGAGTTTCATTTACTTGGGCTCAAATCCATTAATTTTTTTTTCTTATTTTCACTCATCTCCTCCTCTGAAATAGATCCCAGTATTATCACCATCCTAAGCACACACATACACAGATCTGTGAATCTATAATAAGATATTCCTGTTTTTAGCATAGATTTAGATTCAATTAAATGTCTCAATTGCCTCTACCTAGATGCTGTCTAAATATGAGCAAATACCTGGTTCATGGTGGGAAAAAAAAACCCTCAGCGTTCAACAGCTGAGCTCCTAGCCAAATACACACACTGAGATGACTCCTGGGAAGTGCTTGGTTCACAAGCTGACGTGGGTTCTTTGACCAGCTACCTGCAGAGGGCTGGATGTACTAATGCCCTTGCCTCCCAGTCCAGTGAGCTGGTCAGATGACACAGCACCATTTAGCATCATGGACACACAGCATCTCGTGCCTTCCCCTCATCCAGCAGGGATGTACGTGCCAGAAAAAACAGGATCAGTGAAGCAGAGCCAAGATGCTCAGTGTTCCTAAAAGGAAGCACTTGAATGAGGGAGGAAAGCAGAGCTCTGGGTGATACCCTATCGATGGGGAAGGGCCTAAAATGGAGAGCAACCACAACAGCTGCTGCCCCAGACAACTTTAGGACCGGACAGGCCTACCACGTTCCCAGGTTGTTTAACAGAGAAAGCTTGCTGACAGTATATGACCACATCCAATGTGGCACCGTGACAGCAGGCCTCTGAAAATCCCCTCATCCACACAGCCTTCATTCACCCCTGGCTTTTTCTCTTTCAGGATTTCTACTCGGAGTCCCCAGTACCCTCAGAGCACCGAACCCAAGAGTGCGTCCCTAGTAGATGCAAATCCTGTTTCTTTTCCTTTTTGCCTCCTGGGGTTGTGACAGAAAAGGGAAAGATCAAAAAGCACCAAAATCCACTTAGGGGATAGATGCTCATCCCACGTCTTACCAGTTTGCTAGATGAGTCCTCCTGCCAAATACAAAGCAAGACACCCACTCTGCAGCCTTCGCAGAGCAGAGGTTAAAACACTCTTTACCACTTTAAAAGATCAGTACATGAGCAGACCCAGTTCCTTCCACGTAGATCATAAACCAGAGACAGGAAGATAGTCTGCTGATCCATTTTTTCATTATCAATGGACCACAACCCATAGAATAATCTATTCCCCTTTCCAGTCATCAAACCACAATGGATCACATTGAAACATATCAGTCTCCTAGTTTGAATTGGACTCCATATGATGTTTTAATGCTTCTCATAACCCAAAGCCATTATTCCTGATCACAAGCAAAACCCAAGGAAACAGCAAATTTGATATTCTGTAGCAAAAAGAAATTTGAAACTAGCTTCTAATCTTTGTGTTCAAGACTAGGTGCCAGGGAGATGGTGCAGGAGATGGGTCAATGGATAGAGTGCTTGCTCTGCAAGTATGGACACCTGAGTTCTGATCCCTAGCACCCATGTAAAAGCTGGATGTGGTGACATACATATGCGACCCTGGCACTGGGGGGTGTGGCAGAGATGGCCAGATCCCAGCGCCTCTGCTGGTCAGCCAGTGCTGTCAAAATGGTGAGTTCCAGGATCTGTGAGAGACCCTGTCTCAGAAAATAAGGTGGAGAGGAAGACACCTAGAATCAATATCTAGCTTCCAAGTGTGCATGCTCAATGTAAGTGCACTCACACACACACATACATTCATACAGCATATACTATACTATACACACATATACACAGGGAGGGAGGGAGGAGACACACACACATACACACACACACACACACACACACACACACACACTAAATGGATAAAAAGAATAAGATCAACATACCGATCTGGAAGTTAGGCTGGTAAGTTGTTTCATGTTACAGTCCTCGGCACAGACTTCATACAACACCGGTATCCAAGCCCTTTCAATGAATAAGATAAAATTTCTGGGTCTAGTTTTAGTATCACAGACAGCCTCAACCCTTCTTTGAATACTAAGTCAAATTAAATATATTGTTGAGCAACATCAGCAACGTACTTTGTTAGATGAAACGGAGAAAACAGAGTCATTAAAACTTACTAATAAAGAGGCTGCAATCTAAGAACTTCAAAGATGGAAAAGTCATTAGCAGGCAAAGATGTAAATGTGGGACGCAGTCCAGGAGTCTGGAGTGTGGGGTTCAGGAAAGCATGGGCTGGTGTGTCCATACATTAACAGCACCTGAAGTGTAACACAAAAACTTACAGAAAACTCATCATGGATTTCTGGAATCCTCCAGTAAGATGGAGGGAAAGAGGGGGATCTGGGGGGACTGTGACACAGTGGGTGGTCTCCCTAGGTTCTGAAAGGACAGGAAGAACCGGAAGGGCAGGGCCTGCAGCAGGCCTACACAGGAACAGAGCAGGCCCTGCATCTTTGGAAGGAGCCAGAGATAACAGGATCTGCCTGCTTTCATCTCTGAGCTCTGAGAAACAGGTCATTAGCATCCACAGCTCAGCCAGGCTTCTTGTCTTCTCCCCACGGAGGGCAAAGATCTTACTGCTGAGAGGTTCTGGCCTCTCTCAGGTAACGCAGCCACAGATCTCCAGCTGTCTAGGCAGCGGAGGGGGAGCTCATTGGTTGGTCCACCCCGCCTCCTTTACCTCTACATTGACGGAGTAGTATTGGAACTGTTGGAAAGATGCTCTCAGATACACAGGAGGCTATGAAAGTATGCAGGCACAAAGGCCTGGGTTAGGGGAATAGTGACCGGAACATGGTCCTAGGAAAGTAAATTCAGTCACTCAACTAACAAGTGCCCTTTTTAGATAGTGGTTCAACGACTGAGTTGGTAGAAAATATGAGATTCGGTTCGGAAGTAGAAGCACTGAGCAGCAGCGAAGGCTGGCGCAGGGGAAGTTCTTGTTATTTTAAGCATCCACACTCGAACACAGTTTCGTATAAACACTACTATGTACAAAAGCTGTTTCCAGGATCAACTGCAGAGCTTCCTATCTGAGGGCTCTGGGGCATATGACTTAATCTATAAGACCAAGCCCCGTCTATAAATGAGTTCAAAGCAGAGTCATTGTCTAATCCACATCTCATTGGAAAACTGGGACCATGAACCTTCAGACTGGAGGGTTTGAGTAGAGTTGACCTCTGTCCCCCTCTAACTCAAGAGATGGTTGCTCAGGCCTTACACAGTGCCCTGCTCTGGACTCTGGGGAGCCATGTGGTGTTTCCCTCACTCCACCGTTTCTGGATCTCTCTCTCTCCTTCCCTCCCTCTTCCCTGACTCTCTTTTCACTAAGAACCATTCAGACCTAAAAGTATCAGTCTTTCTGAGATGTTCTCCCTAACACTAAACACCATGGAAGAGCTGAAACGGACAGAGAGCTGAGTAGGAGCTGTACCAGCAAGGAGACTCCTCTAGAACACCCACCCCCCGCCCCTCAGCTGTGCCGAATCCTCCCTCCCACCATCCTCTTCCACGGCAGTTAAGAACAGGAATCAATGAATGCCCCTTGGTCCCGTCAGTGAAGAATTCCTTACTTGTTACAAATATTATAACTTTCTGATTCATCACCAAGCACTACTTTGGAAAACAGTCTCTAGAAAAGCAATTAACCGTTCCAGCCCACACTGACATGGGCTGCGTTTATGCCGTAAAGCAATGGTGATTGCTAGTGTTTACTCTAAATTTTTTTAAAATGTATTTTTCAATAGGTATGTGTCTCACCTGCACGTATCTCAGTGTACCAGCACATACAATGCCTGTGGAGGCCAGAAGAAGGTGTCACATCCTCTGGAACTAGAGTCACAGATGGTTGTTAGCTGCACTGTGGGTGCTGGGAACAGAACCTAGGTTCCCTGAAGAGCAGCCAGTGCTCCCAACTGCTGAGCCATCTCTCCAGCCCCACTCCTTTAATTTTTTAAATACTACTTTGGAAACATTGAACTACATAATCAGTGCATTGATATGAAAGAAATAAAACATACATGACAACTTCTGAGGGAGTCATTGCCTCAGATAAACCTGGTAAATGATCAGGACGTGAAGCAATGCATTTCAAACTGAAATATGCTAAAGTACAAACAGAGGGGCTGGAGGGAAGGCTCAGGCAGAAAAGCACTTGCTGTACAAGGATGAAGTCGTGAGATTGATCCCCAGAAACCATGTAAGTGTCCAGAGTGATAGGTGCAAGCTTGTCATCCTGGGACTGCGGAGGCAGAGACAGGAGTATCTCTAGGACTTGCAGGCCAATGAGAGACCCTGACTCAAAGGAGGTAGGTGGTGTTCCTGAGAGTGACACTGAGGTTGTTTTCAGTTTCCACACACATGCACGCGCGCACACACACACACACACAGAGACAAACATACACAGACAGACACACACACACAGATACAGAGATAGCAGCTCACACGGACACACACAGACACACACACACTGAGACAAACATACACAGACAGATAGACACACACAGAGACACAGACACAGACACAGACACACACACACACAGATACTGAGACAGCCACTCACACGGACACATACAGACACACATACATACACAGACACACACACAAATATACACACATGCACAGAGAAATACATACAGACACACATACACGCACATATACAGATACACACACAGACACAGAGACAGACACAACACATACATACACACACACAGACACACAGAGATACACATGTCTGCATACACACATGCATTTAAAAACTAAGACTCCTCTCTCCATCTGGGTTGCTAGGGCCTGAGCTGCTGTTGGGCTTAGCCAGCCTGAAGCCAAGGAAGAGAAAAGGATAAAAAAGGGTAAAAAGCCGAGAGAGAGAGAGAGAGAGAGAGAGAGAGAGACAGGGAGAGAGAGAGAGAGGCAGAGAGACAGAGAGGGAGACAGAGAGACAGAGAGACAAAGAGAGACAGAGAGACAAAGAGACAGAGAAAGACAGAGACAGAGAGAGACAGAGACAGAGACAAAGAGAGACACAGAGAGACAGAGAGAGAGAGACAGAGACAGAGCGAGAGACAGAGACAGAGAGACACAGAGAGACAGAGACAGAGACAGAGAGACAGAGAGAGACAGAGACAGAGAGACAGAGAGAGGCAGAGAGAGAGAGAGAGAGAGAGAGAGAGAGAGAGAGAGAGAGAGAGAGAGAGAGAGAGAGAGAGAGAGAGAGAGAGAGAGAGAGAGAGAGAGGAAAGAAAAAGGAAACGAGCGAGCATGGGTTGTGGCGGAGCTGGCGGGGGAAGTGACTCACAGACTACCGCTTCCTGGCTGTCACTTTAGACCTCGGGTCTGTATTTAAGGAGGAAGCCCGCCGTGTCCCCAGGCCGCCGTGGGGACATCGGCCGCCTCTTGAGCAGCCCCCCCCAAGCAGAGACCCCAGTTTAATTTCCCTTTTTAATGGGGAGCTCGGAGCTAGGCCCCTTGGGACTGCAAACACTGAGGGGGACCAGTGGCATCGAGAGCCAGGCAAGTTCAGTCCATTGGGTGTCGGGTGTCTGGTGTGGGGTGTCGGGGGGTCGGGTGTCGGGGTGTTGGGTGTCTGGTATGGGGTGTCGGGGTGTCGGGGGGTCGAGGGGTCGCGTGTCTGGTGTGGGGTGTCGGGATGTCGGGTGTCTGGTGTGGGGGTGTGGGGGTGTCGGGGTGTGCGCGTGGGGCCGCCCGTGTGCCTACCTCAGCTCTCAGCATGCTGAGCCCACGGCCGGGACACCACGACCTTGCTGAGGCTAAGGGAAGGCCCATCGGAATCACGTGGTGCCGTCTAAGAAAGCCTGGTGTGGGCCGTGTCTTCGTCAGAACCGAGCGGATCCACAGGGCACTTTGTGATACTTCCTCTGCCTTCGGAAGCATCCGGTCCTGTGAGGGGTGTGCTGTGAGGGGTGTGCTGTGAGGGGTGTGCTGTGAGGGGTGTGCCACGAGCATGATCAGTCACCAGTGCTAAGGCAATGCTAGAGGATGGATGAAGCTCGCTTGGTCTGGTTCTCACCTCCTGAAGAGGCAACCAAAGCAGCCACTGATGAACCGATGCACTGTGGGGTCGGAGCCACTCTATGTTGCCCTGGCCCGGAGGAAGGAGCAAAGGCTCATCTGACCAACCAGTACATGCAGGATGACTGGGATGAGAGCGCTCCCTGCCGATGCCAACCTAAGTCCATTTCAGGCTGCAGCTGGTGGCTCCTTTGTACCAGCATTCCACAGGCTCAGGAAAGACCTCCATAGTACACACCTAACCAGTTAGCACAGATGAGGCCCACAAGGCGGAGACCTCAAGGCTTCCAAGGAATGCCAAGTGCTTTGTGGCAGTCTGGGCCTCATCCAGCGCCTCACCTTCTGGCTCCGGCCTCTCCTGGCCTTCCTACGACCCAGAGAGTCAGGTCTGAGTGCCCAAACTGCTTGGCTATGGACTTTGGCGGGGCTGGTGCCGCCCAGCAAGGGTTGACCGACAGCTGCCAGTCTGGAGGCGTTCCCACAGCTGTGCAGAACCCTAGCCTTAGCACCACACAGTAGCTTCAGAGTCCGCAGCCCTCACCCTGCGCTACAGCCACTGCAGGCACCCCAGCCTGCAGTCCAGGGACAGGGACAGGAGCCCCTGACAGCCTCCACGCTGGCTGCAGCTCCTCCCCAGGAACAGAAGCAGATGCTGGGGGATGCTTATTCCCATTTATCCGCACAATGCACTCGAATCTGGCTGGAAAGATTATGGGGATACTGCTGGAAATCGACAACTCAGAGCACTGCACATGCTGGAGTCCCCCGAGTCGCTCTGTTCCAAGGTGGACGAAGATGCGGGGCAGTTCTGCAGGTTCATCATGCCAAGAAAGAAGCTGCCCGGACAGAGCATGCAGTTGCCGCGGCTACCACTTAGACAAGGGAGAAAAAAGAATCAAAAGCCAAATAATCCCTCGTGGAATTCATTC